GCACACATTAGGAGAGTTCTAATGTTCTAGAATGCTATAGAATTTTATATATATCTAATGGTTTAGAACATTGGAGACGTTTTGATGCTGATATTCACACATTTTACTGAATTTTAGGTGAACAGAATATTATTGTTCTAGATTATTAGAATGTTCTGATGCTGAGGACACATTAGAAGAGTTCCAATGTTCTAGAATGCTCTAGAACATTATAGATATCTAATGGCCTATAACATTGGAGGTGTTTTGATGGTGATTTTCATGCACTTTTACTGAGTTTTATTTCAACAAAAGTTTACTGTTCTAGACTAGAACACTGGAGATGTTTGAATGCTGATATTTATATATAGAATTTTACTTAAACCGAATTTTACTGTTTTAGATCACGGGAATATTCTGATGCTTAGCACACATTAGGAGAGTTCTAATGTTCTAGAATGCTATAGAATTTTATATATATCTAATGGTTTAGAACATTGGAGACGTTTTGATGCTGATATTCACACGTTTTACTGAATTTTAGGTGAACAGAATATTATTGTTCTAGATTATTAGAATGTTCTGATGCTGAGGACACATTAGAAGAGTTCTAATGTTCTAGAATGCTCTAGAACATTATAGATATCTAATGGTCTATAACATTGGAGGTGTTTTGATGGTGATTTTCATGCACTTTTACTGAGTTTTATTTCAACAGAAGTTTACTGTTCTAGATGACTGGAATTTTCAGATGCTGAGGACAAATTAGGAGAGTTCTAGTGTTCTAGAATGCTATATAATGTTATAGATATCTAATGCTCTAGAACACTGGAGGTATTTTGATGCTGAAATTCACATATATTTACTTAAACACAATTTTACTGTTCTAGATCCTTGGAGATTTAGATCGTTGGAGTGTTCTTCTGCTGACGTTCACACATCAGTGTTGTAGAATGCTGAAGTTTATGCCTACATTATAGATATCTAGAACACTGGAGGTGTTTGATGCTAATATTCACACATGAAGATCATTTTTACTGTTTGCACTACAATCGCTAACTGAGATGAAAGATGGCACTAGTTGCGATTGTATTACCTGTTGTGTTAATTTTTGATATACAGAGTTGCCATGGATGACAGTGAATATTACGAAAAATCAGACCGTTGGATTGAGCAACTGACCAATCAGAAGCAGCATATCCCCAAGTTTAATATGTAATGTGCTTGCCAGAATCATGAGTTTGCAGTGACTGAGGTTCAAGCATACATAACAAAAGGTCATGTGCTTGCGTTTGAAAGAAATTTTAAAGCCACAGTGGCCCTGAAACCATATTTATACTCTCACATCCTCAGAGAATAGATCAGGATGCAAAACGATCAAAACACCCATGTGGATTTTTAATGGTCTGTTGCAAAGGCGGTAAAAATCCAATCAGCCATTAAACTACCAAACTCCAGGAGAAAGAGACTTTAGTTTTATTCACATCAAGTCATAAAAGTTCAGGGAACAGGGGAATCAATCAGCGCTATCAGGCTGCGAGTTAGCCGCCTTCCAAAGATCTTGGACAATCAACTAAATATCTTAATGACTTTGGATTTGCACATTACAGTTTTATCATAACTGCCTAAGCTTCTCAGACAAAGATTTACACCCATTATCTAAATAACACCCATAATTAGTGTGTTCATTATATCCTCCCACACAAAGCCAGAGACACAGACACCTCTGGATTACCTACTTAATCTGATGATGCAGTGTCATTTTCCCACTCACTCCAACCAGCGCCAAATGTTTGTCACAATCAGGCGGAAAATACATAATCCTCACAAATGCTCTAAATTAGAGGAACATCGTAGACATGGAGCTAAAATCTGAATGTGCAGACCATAGAAGGAATAGAAGCATGCAGGAGCTCAAATCATAACCCCATTAAAATTCAAAACCCTTGTGAAAATACATGTAATTCTGCATTTGTTGTAATAACTGATGTACTCGCCGGGCTTCAAAAGTATACATATTTAAACAACTACCCAATAAAAATGAAAGAGCCGTTGGATCTGGGTGTAAGAGGCAAAAAGAGCAAGATAAATATTATTATTGCTATTATTATTAATATGATTTTTAAATATTCATATATGCATTGAGCATACAGTACAGAACCTATATTATTTTAGCTATGATAATTAATATGAAAATATAGCTGATTGTGAGTATTTATTTACATTTTTATGAGTACATATTTGTTCAGTGAAATATTGTGCTTGTCATTTTATTTTTTTTTAAACAGTACTCTTAAGATTCACTTTCACACCATAATGTTTTCGAAACAGGTGGTTTCTGTAGACTGAAGGTTTGGTTTGATCTAATGACACATGTGATGAGCCGGAGTTTCTGCTGCATGTATGTGTGACGAGTGTGTTTGGGGTGCTATTGACCCCAGGTTTTGCCGTGCGTAGTGGGGGCCTTAATGCAGAGAGCTGAACTGCCCCTCTTTTATAAGGAGCATAATAGCCATTCGCTGACAGCTGACCAACACTATCAAAGGGAGAGGAGGCATGTGGGATTACAGATTTAACGAGCCCTTTGTGCAGGACTAATTACATGTGAATGAGGGTCTGTAGGAGCTCATCCACCCCTTATATCTACCACAGGTGAACCCCAAACAAACCCACATTCAACACACATTCAAACTGACAGAAAAAAACAACACAATGTAAAATTAGATATGTATATGTATATGATGACATAAATTGCAATTGATTTGTCAAATGTAAATTTAAAGACATGCCATAAGACAAAAAGATTTTTCAAAGTTGTAAATAAAACAATGATTATTGCAGTTTTTACAAGAAAATACAAAAAAATTTCAGTAAGAAGAATTTTGTTCCTGTATTATCATAATGTACTTTCTATTGCAAAACTAATCACACTTTATAGAAATGTGTTTTAGTAAATATTTGATATATCTGTATACATTGTATAGTTTTTGTATATTTTAAAAATGTTTTTTCTTTTTTTTCTTCTTTTTTATTCTTGATAGTCTATTATTATTATTATTATTATATTATATTAAATACAACAGATATTTAAAGCATGTTTAAATAAATATTTTTTAAATGTTAAATATGTTTATATATAGGTTATTACCAAACTGTTTAAAACATTATATATTTTTCTTATACATCTTTTAAATTTTTTATGTATTTTTCTTTCCTTTTCTAATAAAAATTATGGACTTGAAAGTTATAACTCAGTGTTACCAGACTGTTCTGTTCATGCTATGAAAAAAAAAAAAGTATAAAAAGACAAATCCCCATGATGATCATGTTTTGAATTGGAACATTTAGTTACTCAACAGTCCTATCTAATTAAGCCTTGAGAAATTAAATAACTCCAGCACAGGGTCGATATAATTACTGCTAATTTATTGCTCAGATTATTCACCATTAATTCTTATTCTCTCAAACACAGATTGGAGGAACTACCAGAGAAATAACTGTTTAATAATAATAAACGCTGGGCCTTTTCGTCCCTTTAACGGGTCTAGCATCGTTTATGCATTATTAGGATGTGTAATTGAACAGCCCATAGTTTGCATATTACTTTATTAAGCTAATGTGTTTTCTGTTTGGCCATGCACGACTGTGTTAAAGCTTCTGAATCTTAAAATTACAACTCAATTAACACGACCGCTCCTTGCGTTTCACCAAAACTCATGAGGTTTTGGCAATCTGCACTCCCAATAAGTATCATGGGACTATCATGCTTTTTTTAGACGTTTTTTTTTTTTTACGTTGCACACAGAGATGCATTATAAGGGAGTGCAAAAAATGTGTGGAGAACAGTGGATGTGGGTGCATGTTTACAAAAGTCTGTGGCTGGGGTGGAGGTTGAGCCTGCCATTCACCTCTCTCTGGCCCTGCGGCCCTGCGATGCCCTGCATGCGCTTTTCAGGCTTTGAAATGGGCTTTATGTGTGCGGGGAGAGAGAGAAAAGGCTCGAGCAGCTGTGACGTGGGCGGCGTTGTTTCATTCACCTCTCGCCATGGCAACGGACAGGGGCCCGAGAAATATGCCCTATATATATATATATATTATCAAATGTATTTTTGTTTGTTTATTTACCTTTTATTTGAAATACTTTGGGCCTACACGATATATAATAAACACGGTTATAAAAATATATATAAAATGTTTTCATAAGCTAGTTTTCACGGAAAATATTAAAAACTATTTTATACCTTTTTGGACAAAACACTCATAAAATAACCAATAATAACGAAATTAAGCTAAAATTAATTATTCAATTCTATTGGAATGACTATCATATAAGTAACCGCTTAAGAAAAACTTAACGAAAGCCAGGCTGGATACCTTTGGAGCCCATTGCGCCCTGTCACTGCTGATTCCTCTGTGCTTGTTTTCAGGCGAGCGCAATGGGATGGGGCTTCTGTCGAATATACTGTGACCAATGAACGCGCCGCTGCCACATCTGTCAAGAGCTTCTGACCAATAGAAAGCAGCGCAAGGCGGATCTCAGGTGCGCGCCTCTGCGTCCTCGCGGCTCTGGCGCGCTGGGGAGCCGCCTGTGGCACAGAGTAGCGTGGCAACGGACAGGGGCCCGAGAAATATGCCCCCTCCTTGAGCCATGAGAGAGAGACACAGAGAGACTCTGAAATCCCAACAGAACATAGAGTGCTGTTATTTCAACCATATAATAATATAAACAAATATAATTATAATAATATCATGTGTGTCTAAAATAATTATTAATGCTCAGATATCCATTTAATTATCATATTCACTGTACGGATGGATAACATTACACTTCATTGAAGTCTATTATTGTGATTGTTTAGCCTTAATTTTTTTTTAAGTAAAATAAAAAAGTGGTGCCAATGTCAATAAGCAGTCGTGAGCTTACTGCACTTTTTCAACCATTGTGAATTTAATTTTAACGAAGAAAATACATTTTTGAATCATAATTTTAATGAAGAACATTAAGTTAAAATTAAGTAGAAATGACAAAGTATTGTGAAAAGGATAGAAGTTAAAAGGATGGAATGATGGCGATATTTTAAAGTGCAGGTCACATTTCTGAATTTATGATTAATAGTCTTAGCCTTTTTTATTTTTCTATATGAAATATATTATGCACCCACATGTCTTTTTATTCATTTTTATTGTTGAAAAGCATTTTGCTCTATCCAGTTATTTTAACTAAATATAAGATATAAATATATTTGTAAAAACTTTTTGCACTTTTGTATGTCTTTATTTATTAATTTTTGTTTATTTATTAATTTATTTGAACTACAAATTACTGTATATATATAAAAACTTTTTAACTATATAAACCTATTTTTTTTTACTTTTTTTGATTACTAATAAGTCTTTTGCTTACATATTACAGCATCCTCACGTCCAGCTCGGAGCCCGGCAGCATGCAGCAGACGCCGCCGCCGCCGGCCTACAGGGACGCGCACAGCCTTCTGCAAAGCGAGTACACCACCCTGCAGAGCAGCGGGAGCACGCTCGGCCACGCGCACCAGTGGCTGACGGCGGCGCTGTCTCACGGGGGAGAGGGGTCGCCGTGGCCCGCCAGCCCGCTGAGCGAGCAGGACATTAAGCCGGTGGAAGAGCTGCAGCATTCGCCGAGGCAGGCGCATCTGGTGCAGCAGAGCCAACAGCATCACGAGGCGGGCGCTTGGCGCGCGACCACCATGCCGAGCATGAGCACCTCCAACGGGCAGAGCTTGATCTACTCTCAGCCGGGGTACGGCGAGCCGGGGATGAACCACGAGGACCACCACAGCCCGCATCTGAGCGAGCACGGCCACCCGCAGAGCCTACACTCGGACGAGGACGCGCCGACCTCGGACGACCTGGAGCAGTTCGCCAAGCAGTTCAAGCAGCGCCGGATCAAGCTGGGTTTTACGCAGGCGGACGTGGGGCTCGCGTTGGGCACCCTCTACGGCAACGTCTTCTCCCAGACCACCATCTGCAGGTTCGAGGCGCTCCAGCTGAGCTTCAAGAACATGTGCAAACTCAAGCCCCTGCTGAACAAATGGCTGGAGGAGGCGGACTCCACCTCGGGAAGCCCGACCAGTCTGGATAAGATCGCCGCGCAGGGGAGGAAGAGGAAAAAGCGGACCTCCATCGAGGTGAGTGTCAAAGGGGCCCTGGAGAGCCATTTCCTCAAGTGCCCGAAACCCGGTGCGTCGGAGATCAATTCGCTGGCGAACAGCCTGCAGCTGGAGAAGGAGGTGGTGCGGGTCTGGTTCTGCAACCGGCGTCAGAAGGAGAAGCGAATGACGCCCCAAAACGGACCGATGGCCGGGAACGAGGATGTGTACGGGGACGCCTCGCCTCACCACGGCGCGCAGACACCTGTTCCGTGAGAAAGAGGCGGCCTGAACATAATCGACTGTCTCTTTGTCCCGGTCACAAGCCCGCTCGGGGCGGACCGACGGTGATGAAGTGTCTCTGTGTGTGGCACCTCCGAGGGCGCGGAGCGCGCGTGGTGGCGCGAACAATATATGGGCACGGGCGCGAGAAAACACGCTCTGAGGCGTTACGCGCCGCGGCTGAACCTAAAGAGGGAACGTAAATATTCTTTTATTTAAGAGATTTCTTTTCAAATCCGGGGATCTGTGAAA